ACTCACGTGTCTGTAATGCAAAAACTTTTTTTTTATTATAAATTATATTACTTTTTGTCTCTTCTATTTGACATCAATATAACGTATGTCTTGATACGATAAATCCATTGTGTAGTCGCACTAACGTCGCCGTAAAAACATGAAAATGTTAGTAGTAGGTGTAAATTTTCTCGCGAAGACTCTGATGCATATAGAATAAACGCATTGGCATACCAACATTTGTTTGCGTATATATAGACACGATTTGCACGTGATGAGCACCGCCTCGCAGAGTCTTCCTTCGTCTCATCCATTCATTCTTATTGTGCAAGATACGATGACGGCATAAAACGTTTAATTCCGAGCTTTCTGTGCAAACACCGACGCCACTTTTGCATTGCACGAAGGACGACGTGTCCTTTTAACTTGAAGGCTACGTTCGACATTCCTCTCATTCGTCGCGATCTTAAAAGAAAAAAAATGGTTAGTCATTGACACGAGATTTTGCAAAACACTGAAAGAATGTTAGTTTAACGATCCGTTAACAAGCAACTTTCTTTTATGCATAATTTCGTAACTATATCCATATATAAAATGGGCATATTCCTTTAGCAAGTAGAATCATATTTTGCATAATGCATGCATATGCACTAATGCATTCCTTTGAAATTAATCTTTTCTTTTCAGAAATTAATTTTTAAACTAATTATTTTTTGCTTAAAAAAATTTTATTTTTTTACAATTTTTTAAGATTCTTGCCACATATATTTATTCTAAAAATTAAAATTTGTTTTCATATACATAATCATTTTTTATAAACGTTTATGTAATTTATTTATATTCGCAATATTAATATTAATAACTAGCAATAACAGAAGAAATCATAAAAATCATAAAACAGACTATTATATTAACTATTTGATATTCAATAAAAATGAGCCACTATATCAAATATACATGAGATATTATGAGTCAGATATTACAAGTTTCTCTTTTTGGTACATGTTATATCGATGTATATCATTATGGTATTGTCACAGTAATATACAGGGCTTATCAACAGCATGACTAATACTGCAAAAAATAATGATGTCATACATGTGACAAGGTATACATTTTATTTGAACGATAGTGTTTGACTTAACTTACAATTTACTTATTCGTGAAAAATTACTGATCGCTCATTTTTTTACGAGAAATGCCAAATTCGGTTAAGATTTAATTTTTTTTTTGTAGAAGCTTTACGCTTAGGGACATTTAGTTTTCAGGAATAAAAAAAAGTAATACATTCTTTTATCCATAAATAATTACTTTCACCAAAATATAGATATATATTGTCATATTCTACGCGAAAACAAAGAACGTTAGATAAATTAAGTCGGTATTGACCGCAAATGTATGAATAAAGTCGAGTATGATTCATTCGGCCGCAAATAAGCAATTGTAATTAGCATCATTCTTTCACGAAAATATATATGTAATATATCATGCAAGAGTAAAATTAACATCTTAATCAATGATTTATAATCCACTTCCTGAATAATTCTCACAATGTATTGCACAATGTATTTAAATATAAAAAATCTATTTCATTTTTAATAATATTTGTGTGTGACGTTTATATGTTGTAATTTCCGAATAAATAAAGTTCATAATTATAAAAGTTTATAATTATAAAATTATAAAAACCGTGATATATATATATATATATATGGGGTATTATTTATGAAGTGATCCACCCAAATTTTCAAAGTTTTCCAATCACGCTGAAATTTGCAGAAAGTGTCCTATCAAAAGTGAAATTATTCCTCAAGTTGTTTGGCTTTTTTACCTACTTTAATCTTGTAGAATTAGTTTTTTCTTTCAATAACAATTTATATAAGATTTTTAAAAAACAAAGTAAAAATCAATTTTTTCTCAAATTTAGACATCTTCGATTTTCTACAAAAAAACTTTAAAAAAAGTGGAAAACTTCCCCTTTAAAACGCTTCCAAGGCCAAGATGGGCAGGCTTTTAGTTTTCAAGATATTTTAGAACCAAACGTGTCATCTATGATGCAGTTCGGACGCTGTTACAAATACAGAAAGATATCTGGCCAGTTCTATTGCTTGTGGCCAAGCGTGGTGACTTGTCATATATTATATATGTATGTTTGGCCCACACCATACAGGCTCTGTGTTAACATATATTATATATATATATATATATATATACTAGCTTTTCGGACCGAGCTTCGCGCGGTCCTCAAAGCCTTTCTATTCGGACCGCGCTTCGCGCGGTCCTCATATAGCCTATATTAAATCCGTTTTAACACAAAAAATTAATTCTTTTTTTGTATTACCGCGAACTACTTCCACATTTGTTGTCCGACTTTCACGAAATTTATATGAAAATAAATGTTTAAATTTTTTTTGGGTGGTTGCGTGGGTGGATAAATAAAGTGATAAAAATTTGTTAAAATCATATAGTAGCCATCCCGGACAAAATTTGAGTACAAATTTCGAAAAAGTCTGTGAATAAATGTTTGAATGCGTGGGTGGATGCATGGGGGGGATAAAACTTAAAAGAACCACACAGCAGCTTTCTCAGAAAAATTTGCAACATTTTTGTACCAATTTCGTGAAAATTGGTCCATAAATGTGCATGCGTGTGGGTGAATGCGTGGGTGGAGGTGTAACACTTGAAAAAACCACATCGTCGCCATCTCCAAAAAATTTGCAACATTTTGGTACCAATTTTTACAAAAATCCGTTTATAAATATGCGATTGCGTGGGTGGATGCGTGAGTGGGGGCGTAAACTTAAAAAACCCACACAGCAGCTTTCTCAGAAAAATTTGCAACATTTTTGTACCAATTTCGTGAAAATTGGTCCATAAATGCGCATGCGCGTGGGTGGGTGCGTGGGTGGAGGTGTAACACTTGAAAAAACCGCATCGTCTCCATCTCCAAAAAATTTGCAACAATTTGGTACCGATTTAAAAAAAATCGGTTCATAAGTATGCGATTGCGCGGGTGGGTGCGTGGGTGGAGGCGTAAACTTAAAAAACCCACACAGCAGTTTCCTCAGAAAAATTTGCAACATTTTGGTACTAATTTCGTGAAAATTGGTCCATAAATGCGCATGCATGTGGGTAAATGCGTGGGTGGGTGAGTGGGTGGAAGTGTAACACTTAAAAAAACCGCATCGTCGCTATCTCCAAAAATTTTGCAACATTTTGATACCATGTGTTCAGAAATATTGCAAAAAAAATTTTTTTGCAAAAACATACTCTCCTCTGAGGAAAAAAAATAAAAATAAAAAAATTAAAAAAAAACCCACAGCAGCCACCCCCGAAAAATTTGCAACATTTTGGTACCAATTTCGAGACAATCGGTCCACAAATGCGGAAGTAGTTCGGGTACAGACAGACAGACAGACAGACAGACGGACGGTGCTTATATATATAGATATATATATATATATATATAATATATGTTAACACAGAGCCTGTATGGTGTGGGCCAAACAACTTGAAGAATAATTTTATTTTTGATAGCACTACACTTTCTGCAAATTTCAGCGTGATTGGAAAACTTATTTGAAAATTTAGGTGGATATCACTTCATAAATAATGCCCCATATATATATATATATATATATATGCATATAATCTTGAACAATAAATTTATATTTAAACTTTTTTTAATATTAAAAAAAAAAATTAAGTATGAAATTTTAATGCAAGCAATATTTTCATATTTACTCGACACTGATTAAACGTAATAGAAAATATTTGAAATTTGCATTCATGCCAGGTGAACAGCAATGGCAGCCTAAATTTCCGGTTTCGATAACAAAACAAGGCTCTCACTTTAGAACAGCTATCATATATATTGTTCTAAAAATATCTTATAAATGTTAATTAATTCAAATTACGATCAGTACTAGTAAATTTGCAAATATAACCAGTATAAATAAAATTCAGCAAAAAAAAGAGCCAATATGTTTTTATACTTTTATATTAATATTTATCAGATTAGCGTAACTATATAGATAACTAATAAGAATATAAGACACGCACACACACAGTTTCCAATGTATATTACAAATACATAATTATAACTTGCAACGCATAATGATTCTGTAACTTCTGAAAGTCACATTCTGCAACACACACACACACACACACACACACACACACACACACATATATATATATATATATATATATATATATATATTACACTTTAAAAGAGTGATTTTCAGAAAGCTAATAAATAAATAAATATTTTTAGAGAGAAAAAACATAACATAAATAAATTAATTGTGATTAAAAGAGATAAGATATATAACTATTTTTATGTGATATAAGGCAGCTGTCTTTAACAATACCTCGTGATTGCTTTGATAAATATTTTCAATGTAACACAGAGCGATAAAACCTGTACCAAATTATGCATTAAAGATTGAAATTTGAATCAAAAAAAAAGTTCAGCTCTTTTTGTTTTGATTAGTCAAAATCTTTAATCTTTAATTTTTAATCTGATTTGATGGTATATGTATGTATACATAATTGACGAAAAATCAGAAGATTTAGAATGTGAGAATTCAAAAATAGGATAAGTAGCACACACATCTAAATTTTTGTTCAATTTGGATTTCAGAAAATTTATTTGATATTTTGTTTTTTATAATTCTGGATTTTCAACTTTTTTATAAATATAATTACACCGTTATTAATTTTTAAAATTTTTGTATGTATTATATAAGTGATATAATCTCACTTTATTAATAAATCCACATTATAAATAAATTTAAATAAGAAAGTCCAAAAAAATAAAAGAATTTGTTTATGCAAGTATATTTAGTATGTACATTGATAATGATGCTAGCTCTTGATTGCTTGTATGTATTTGCACGTCTTACTTTATCCGAAAAAAATTGTATATATGACTTAAGAAGAGATCATATTACACACATAATAGCTATATTTATATTTTAATTACATATAAGATTTATAATAATTATCCTCGTATTTTGTAATTTTAAATATATTTGCATATTTATATCGATATATAGAAATTGTTGATGTAATTAAAGATACATTTTTTTTTTAATAAGAATGTTGTTTATTTGCAAAAAGACGTCAGTAAAACAATCAATTTTTTTTAAACATTACCATTTGCTAATTTGTCTTTTGGTATACCAACTAACAAATGATTCTTAAGCGTACATGTTTCTGGAACTAATTTTGCAAAATAAACTTTATATTCAAATTGTTCAGCAAACAACTTTCTATCTGTATCTACAATTGTCATGCATCTATAGCCTTGTTTAGTCTTAACATTAAATTCTTCGTGCGTTTGATCCGCAGCATGACTTAGGAACGAGTATTCTTTATTGCCAATGCGCTTCTTAAAAATATCGCTTCGCGGATACGTTAATTGATGACAATCTTGTAGCGAGCCATAGCAACACGGACAACTCACGAAAATCGCGTTCTTTCGTATGCAACACTGAATAACTAAATCTGTAGCTAAACCGCAAGCGTGTAATGATGTACCGACATCGAAATCTCCTTTGAAATAATCTAAATTACATTGGCAAAATTTTACATTCGTCAATTTTAATCTTTGGACCCTCTTCTTAGCTCTATTCAAGGATTCTTCTTTATTTTCCAAGAGAATAATTGTGCAGCCAGGCAATAAGTATGCTATCAATATTCCTAAATGTCCACTACCTGAACAAAAATCTACGATGACGTCTCCCGCTTTCGCTAATTTTAAAACGGGTTTGCATAAGTTTTGCAATTGCTCCTGCTTACGCTGCAGTCTGGCAGGTGGCAATGAACCGCCTTCTGGTGTTGCGTCAAACGGTACCTCAGACCAATTCAAGTTTATTTCCGTACCGAAAGGTTCGGCATCGAACTCCATTGAAATATTTATGTCTTCCACTAATTGCAACGAATGTTCTATATCTTCTTGCTTCGTGTATGCGCAATTTCTGGGCTTGTACCGTTTAGGATCACTTTTGTATAAGCTTTCATTTACCACAGCTGGAAATGTATACTCAAGCGTACTTAAATTATGAGTCTTTAACAAAGGTAAACAATTTAAACATTTTATTATGAATTGATCCGTCAACATCCTATTGTACCATTTAACTGTTAAGGGTACCAATTTTAGCATAGTTTTATTTGAATATGTATTCAGTAGAATGTGCATACACACAAATATGATTATATCAGCTAATGTAATAAATGTCCCTTCCGCATATGTATGTTCCAGCAAACCTGTCTCATTCTGTTTAGCTACATTAAGTGCAGCAAATTTTTTGCACATTGTATACTTGTATAAATTATGTAATCTAACTGGTTGAGACATGTGACGTTCAAATCTAGCTAAGCTAATAGGTAATTCAGGTCTATCTAAATTTTTTTTATCTAAAGATTTCAATGTTAAAATTAGATCAACCTCACAAAATTTAGTCCATATGCTCGCCTCTGAACAGGCCATTAAACAAGATCCTTTAAATCCTAATAATTTGTTACAATAGTGCATTGATTCTGCACTTACATCCTTAACAATTTGCCTCAAGACTGTACACAAACCAGCTACATAGCTGTTTTCATTTATAATAATATTTGGTAATTCACACAAGCTTGCATAATAAGGTATTTCATTCATATTTATAATCTCATAAGCAAAATTCGAAAGATTTATCTTATATCCTTGCTCAGATAAGTCTTGCTTGATCGGTATCAGTTTGATATTAATTAAAGATTTGCAATATTTTATGATAAATAGAGTTATTATCGTTTCTATTGGTGCAAGACACGACTCTGCTATAGAATATATCGCTAAATACACTTCACTCATTTTTCAAATATACAAAGACACACACATATAAAAATATAAAATATACAAGTTCTTTAACTTTTAACAATATTTATACACTAATTCGCAATTGTTTCGCTACTTTTCTAATCATTCTCTGTCTTAATATATTCTCTCTCCAATATGTGCTAAGACAAGAAATGATTGCGGAAGCAAACATAAAACCTTCAAACTTCCAAAATGTTCTTTCTTCTAGCCAAGCTATTTTGTCACAACTGCAATGTAAAATGTATACATGTGAAAACATGGCATTGCTATTAAATCTTATCAATGCGCTTTACCTTCTTGTTATCGTTTCTCCACTTTTACACTTTAGTACTTCCTTATATCTTGCATGAATACAAACGCCAATACTTTCGCTGGCAATCTCAAAAGCTGTACACGGATGGCATTCGGATATTATTTCATACTCATCATTCGAAATGCAAGAAGAATTATTTTCAAAATTGTCAATGTAAAGCTTATTTGAGCTGCTTGTCCAGTGACTCTCAATAATTAATGCCAAAACTGTTAATCTGTAAAAACTAAAACTATTAATTCTTATTATCAGATTTTACTAATTATATGATTTATTACTGAGAAATTAGATTAATTATTTAATAATTATACTTTATATTGTGTGATCACATTAATGTATCATTTTAATACATTTTATACATAAGTTATAACTAACCCTCCTAAAAATGTAATACCTAGCAGCATTCGTTTCTTCGTACAAGATTCAATCATTTCCAATTTCTATTTCTGCAATCCAATTAAAAAAATCCAAATAGGAATGATGGTACAACTTGATTTTAGACAACTTTTGGAAATTCTGGAGGATTCACACCTTGGCCACGGTATAAGCAAAGAATATAGACGAGTACAGGGGGTCGATTGTGTATCTCAAAACCTAGTGAAAATGACAAAAGTGAGCATTCAGTTGATTGGCTAATTTTCACTATAGTGAAAACACGAAATATTTCACGTGAGATTATTCGACAAGAATTATTGTGTCGAATAATGTCAAAATGTGTCGTATATCCTACTGCATTATATGTTATGTAGAGTAGAGCGCGATTAAAATACGTATTAAAAGAGAGGACATTACATTATACACCAGAATTTGCTGGTATGTAAATAATTATAGTGCATAATTGAGATAAGAAAAGGTATTTTTTAAATCTATTCTTTACAGCTCTAATTGTAAATGCATGTTGTGTTTTACATAACATTGCTTATAAATGGAGAATTCCATTAAATGAAGTATATTTGGAGGAAGAAGGAGAAGTGCCGATACCATTTAATGATATAAATATAATGCAAGCAGAAGAAGTACGAATTAAGAAATATTGTGCGATGGTATTTTGAATAGGATATATATATATATTTATATATATATATATATATATATATATATATTTATCACATAAATTGTATCACATAAAATTAGTACATTTCATAATCTTATAATAAATTAATAATTAAGATTATCACAGTACATTTCTTAACTTCCCAGCAAACACAGTATATAAATGTTATATACTTAAGCATGTTACATGTAACGTATATGTTAGTTGTAATTTCCCACTCATAGATGTAACATTTTTAATATTACATATATCACATTGTAGTTATATTGTCATTATATCCCAAGATAGCACTGACTTATCAATACATCAATGTGCTATTTGGTATATAATTACAATATAACTACAATGTAATATATGTTATATTAAAATGTTACATCTATGAGTGGGAAATTACAACTAACATGGATGTTACATGTAACGTGCACGTTATATTATCTGTTATATTCCGTTTTATTATAGATATGTAACAATTATATATCGGTGTTTGCTGGGTTTATAATAAAAGATTTTTAAACACTACTTTTTTATTAACGTATTGTTTTATATCAATTCTCATAACACGTCGCGTCAATTTTATTCAAGCATGTTCAAAAATGTATCCGGCCCCCGACCGAAATCCGAATGTTTATTCATAAAATTTAACATAATTTCTTTTTGTTTCTCTGTAACATTCATTCTTATTCACACCGTTCAAACTGCAGAGGTTATAAAGATAAAGGTATCACTGAAACATATATGCATGCATATACGCTTTACGGAATGTTCACTATGGTTTGTGCTCCCGTGAATCTAGGGATATCGTATTTTCATCTTGCTCATAGCCAATCGCGTGTATTTCTTCACGTGAAATGAATGTGCGAAAAGTGAGAAAAATCGACACAAATAGACAATCCCCAGAAGCACGGTTCTCGATATCCCGCGAGTCGCACGAGCTGGGGTACTTTGCTATAGTTTACGTCACGTATACTGTACTGAAATGCTATAAATAGTATATATAGATTTTGACCAATAGAAGCGTAGACAACCTAGTGAATCTCTCACTTTTGTGATTTTTACCTCGTGAGCAAACTTACCCAAGAACCGTATAAGTACCCAGGGCGTCGATTGTTATTTGGGTGAGTTTGCTCACGAGATGAAAATCACAAAAGTGAGAGATTCACTAGATTTTGACCAATAGAAGCGTAGACAACCTAGTGAATCTCTCACTTTTGTGATTTTCACCTCGTGAGCAAACTCACCCAAAGAACTGTAATAAGTACCCAGGAGGTCGATTGTGTATCTTGGGTGAGTTTGCTTACGAGATGAAAATTACAAAAGTGAAAAGATTTACTAGATATCGACAAATGAAACCGTGGGTACTCTAATAAATTTCCTCACTTTTGTAATTTTTACCTCGTGAGCAACTCACCCAAGATACACAATCTACCCTCTGATCGATTCTGTAACTTTTTCTAAAGTGAAAACGTGAAAAGTGAAAAATTTGGCGGAAATGTGTAACTTTTTCTAAAGTAAAATTTTCATTTTCACATTTTCACTTAAAAAAAAATTACACAATTGACCCCTAGGGTACCTATTACGGTTATTTGGGTGAGTTTGCTCACGAGATGAAAATCACAAAAGTGAGAGATTCACTAGATTTTGACCAATAGAAGCGTAGACAACCTAGTGAATCTCTCACTTTTGTGATTTTCACCTCGTGAGCAAACTCACCCAAAGAACTGTAATAAGTACCCAGGAGGTCGATTGTGTATCTTGGGTGAGTTTGCTTACGAGATGAAAATTACAAAAGTGAAAAGATTTACTAGATATCGACAAATGAAACCGTGGGTACTCTAATAAATTTCCTCACTTTTGTAATTTTTACCTCGTGAGCAACTCACCCAAGATACACAATCTACCCTCTGATCGATTCTGTAACTTTTTCTAAAGTGAAAACGTGAAAAGTGAAAAATTTGGCGGAAATGTTTCACTTTTTACATTTTCACTTTAGAAAAAGTTACAGAATCCATACCCAGGAGACCGAATTTCTTAGAATTTCAGTGGTGGGGGTAAGTCAAAATACGGTGTGTGTCACGTCCGGACGATGGTTGTAACATCCCGTCATTTTTTCGAAACCGTATTTTTGTGCGCTATAAATCCTTCTGAATAATTACTTAAGAAATGCAATTGTGATTCTCAATATTACTATTATTCATTATTCATAATTATTGGGACGATTTTACTAACCGTGTTAACATATAGGGTCTTCCTAGTTCTAACTAAGCGGCTCAGCCAATCGGACAGCGTCACTAGACCACACCGAAGCGCATACTTTCAACCATACGACTAACTGAACCGCATATAGATGCGACACTAACATGTTCGAAATTAAGAAACAATAGAACTTATGGAATTATAACATAATAATATAAAATAATTATAATATTTCAAATACTTGAATGATTGATAAGATGCTTCAACCACCTTTAAAAAAGGGGCTTCTAGCCTTGATAAAGTTATTATGAAGATTCCATAAATCTCTAGCTATGCCTAATATGAGAAACGCCATTTTATCGGGCGTTAACTTGTCAATTATATTCACGAAACTGTACCTTCTAAATTATTGAATAATTTCAAGAATTTAAGATTTTAAGATCTAATCTATAATAAATAAATTACAGTAAGGTTTACGTAAATATAACTATATAAGAGAAAGAGCATATATTGTATCATGTAATCGAAATATATAATCCGAACTCTCGCCGCTACATCGTGGAAATGTAATCGTATAATTTAGAAATTCTCAGCGCCCCGCTTATATATTAGCGACAATTTTCTACCTTGTAATTTATTCCTCAATTTTAAGTAATATAAAATAAATTATATGAATTGTATGATTCCACGTTCGTAAGAAATAAGCACATCTATGCGCGAACTCTCTGAAATACGCTCTTTAAAATAATCATGTTGATTGAATTTATATCCGTTAGTTTTAAGGCGACCTAATTCTCAGCTCTTTGTCGGCCGAAAACCCTCGCTACTGTTCGACACTTCTTGAAATCTGTATCTTGGCCGAATCGTTATCCACCCTCTCCCCATACCGTATCGCCTCGATATCCTACGCGCCGAAGCCCATATGCATGTCATAAATTCTGCCTCTATTGGAACTCTTGCTCTCCTAGACATTCCATTGGCTCTCCTCCTTTTTTTTCCACACATATCACTTGCACCGATGATCTCGAGATACAGTTTATGAAGGAACCCCCACCAAAGGGCGCAAAGTACAAAGACTTTTTCCGATTTTGATGGGTATATAAACCCTGCGGTCCCAGCATCTGCGCGGCATAATTATACACGGCATATTATACGACACATTAGATACTGCATCTCATTGTGTCACTCTTTTCAGCCCTTTCTGGCAAAGTATCTCTTCCAATTAATTGAAGCCATTCATGTCTTCTTTCTTTATTTTTCGGAACACGAAATAACCGAAATCCTCTTTCGCTGCAATTATTGCAGTCTTTAACACAACAACCTAGCATCTTGATACCTCTTATTTCTTTTCATGTGCGAAGAAGATTATAACAGGTTATAAAGACTGCACTTAAAGTAGAGATGATTTACACAATGTATACACTATCTACACTTTTCGACACCATCTTGACTCCCATGTATCCATCGACATATAGAATGGACTGAGCATCGCGATGGGTAAGCGCGCGCCTGCTTTAGAGTGAGAAGTACTACATCTGAGGCCTATGTTTGTCTCTCTTTTTGCAGGGCCGTCTAAAAAAATTGCGGACCATGTGCATTTTTCTATGAAATGTGTAGTCAATAGATTTTTTTAGAATTTATTTTAAAATTTGTTTTAATATATTTAATATATTTATAAATAAACAATAAATTTGCTTTAATTTATATTATATTTATATTAATATTTTGAACACACTCTTGCATTTGGACTAATCTGCTTGATGTTTAATGCAGATAACCACAATTTCTTTATGTGTTCTTTTTCTGGAACTCTGAAAATAATGATAATGTATTACTAGCTTTATATTGTATAATTCAATTATTATTATATTACAAAATATTAAAATAATATTCTAAATATCTCTTATTTGTAAAACGCATAATCTAACCTAACTTTTTATAATTTTACTTTACACAATTTTTATTACATACTATTACATATCTTAATTTTATTATATAATATATAATTTTAATATATATTTAACAAAACTATGCAAGTTACGTATATATAATATAATTATATACAGCTTTAAAACAATATGTTTAAAGAATGTGTTACAATAATGTCCTATAAAAATACTTTTAATGTACTTACTTATGCATCTGTATATCCTTTTTATTTTTATCATACGTAATTTTGCACACAAAACACCTTAAAACCATTTTTAATTTTTAAAGATAAAGATAAACGTTTCACGTTATTCCAAAGCGAGTAGGCGAAGGTGAGGTGTCAAAATTTAATGCTATGTTACTGCTAGAATTCTGGAGGGGGACGAAATAACAAATCAGAAGCTTGCAAGAGAGACAAACATAGGCCTCAGATGTAGTACCTCTCACTCTAAAGCAGGCGCGCGTTTACATATCGCAATGCTCAGTCCATTCTATATGTCGATGCATGTATCTTATGAATTGCGTTATTTTGTAATCTAGTGACTTTACCCGCAAAAAATAGAGAGCGCCTTCTTTTCTCCCTAGCCTAGGCGTAGGAAGAGAAAAGGAACCATCGTCCGGACGTGACAATGTCCAACGCTGTTTTCGTCTTGCACGTACAGCAAATTGACGTGTCTGTCTTTTTTTTCTCTGAAAGACGTAGCGGGACAATGTTGTTTTCGATGTTGTACACATTTACGGAGATATTGTTTGCAAGTTCAAACTTTTTAATTTTATTCACAGTCACTAGAAACTCAATGTTCTGAAGATTCAGCACTGTTGTGTAATGCGGATAGGA